ATTTTTTTTTTTTATGTTTAAAAATGTTTGTTTACACAAAAATATCACAGCTAGACTGTAAGAATTTAATTTTTGGGGAACTAGCTACTGAAAAGGGTTATATAACTGCGTACTTTCCCAAAGCATTAGGAACATCAAAACAGAGAAATTTAGAACAGTAACCATATTCTTTAACATTAGACAATCAACAAAAATAGAAGACCAATAGAAGTGTTAAGTCAGTCCACCAGTAACAAACGAAGAAGTAATGAGTAGAATGGACACGTCTCATGAAACAAACATGGCATGTAAAACAAGAGAACTAATGAATAAGATGAGAAGTCTGATGACACAAACAAGCTCGTAAAATATTAAAGTAAATATTAAATGAAATCTTATAGAAGCATGTCCAGGTAATCAAAGAAAGGATATCAATATATCATACAGACAGCCTCACTTTTACTCATGCAGCTGTTAGTATCAAAAGAGTGCCTTACAGAAGAGAGAGTTGGAACAATTTGTTCATCAACTAGAGGACTGATCAAGTTTTGGCCAGAAAAACAAATAGAGAAGAACTCCGAAGTGACTTGTAACTTCTATTTCCTTTGTTGCATGTAATAGTTGGCACTTGAAAAATGATGGAGCTACAAAATTTAATGATTCTATAATTTGGTCATGGTTTCATGCCAAGATGGAATTAATTCAGTTGATTCCCTTATCAATGAACCTTAGTATGACCAGTATATACAAGCCAGAGGTAGCTCATGTATTATGAAAGCACCCACAACGCCAATTGAATATAGGGACATTTAAATGAAATATTCTATTAAAATGCAGTAAAAAGCAGATTTACAACTGCACATGGTTATTACCCGTGCATAATAACCACTGTCTGGTGTTCCATCCAAGTTCAAAGTGGATGCTACTACCATCATGAACTTCTCTCTAACATGCATGGGATAAATCTCAGTATTCACATCAAGGTGCATAAGCATATCAAACTGCTCACTCCTAACAGAAATGGAGACACTGGATAAAAAATATTATAAATTAGACATAAAAAATGTCCTAGAATGGAAAACATTAAATAAAAGCCTGGAATTTTGTCATGTCGCAGAATGAAACATGAAAGCAATAACAGAAATTCCAAATAAGAAAGTACACACCAGTCGGTGGCAAGTACTCAACCAGCACTAAGACTTGCATATAAATATTGTAAACTTTAAACAAATAAAGTCAGTACATCAAACTTTCTGGATTTATTCGATTTTTTTGGGCAGGACAAAACATATGCTTTAGTATTTTCTAAACGTGGGTAGTCATTGTACAACTACCATTTTCAGTGAAACGATACTAAATCCATTTAAAGTTTATAACGGATCTTAAGTTACTAAAAAAACAATCAAACATGGTATATTCATTAATTAATTGGTGCTAGTAATTTGGAATGGCAGATTCATCTACCGCCACTTACGTGCATAAAAAAAATGAAAAACAAATGGTCATACAATCAACAAAATCTTATCCTAATAAAATTACTGATATAAGCTGTGTAGGAAATATTAAGGTACCCACAATAATATTTAATATCAGAAACAGCATGGGCCCATTTGAAGTCATTGGCCTGTAACAGTATGATTTTATTGGTCAAGAAGAAGCTGTGCAAAATTCGGAACAAGGAAGTTGCTCAGAAAGACATTTGATTACATTCATCATTTCATCTACTCCATATATGTACTTTATTAGTTTTGATATCCTTTTTTCCATGTCATATTTGCATCTCCATTACTCAGTACAAAACATTATGCCCATACACACAAAACACACTTCAGAAACAAAGAAGAGTGCAGAAATAATGAGAGCTCATGAAACCGTACCCTTATCAAACTTTTTGCCATCTGGGTCTAGTGCATCGACTCGAAAGATATCTTCAAAGAGTGTTTCCACCATTGTTTCCTAGTGAAGGGACTATAAAGAAAAATCAAGCAAGATAATTCTATGATTCAGTCTTATTCAGCAGAATTGCATTGCTAGTCTGTGAATCAAAACTGAAAGCCGATAATCTATAAAAAAAAGTCTTTTAACATGCTAGAAAAAACAATAAACTAGCCACAACAAACAAGGGCAAATTAGATCAGTTCAGAGAATGATATGAGTAGAATAAAAACTCAAGGGACTGAGCTGAAATAGATACCTACACCACAGGCAACTCATAGCAAATAATTTATATTCCCTTATCCAATAGAACCCCATAAGTTCATAAAAGTAAAATTTACCGGAAAGCTCGATACAAGAAACATATTTGAATTTGAAAAAGAAAACTTAAACGCAGAAAAAAAAGGAAGTAAAATCATAATCTAAAATAAAGTAGTAGAATAGTAACTCAGCTCACAAGTCAAAACCCTAGACTAATTTCTCATATGCCCCAACCAGGAAAAAAAAAGGAAAAATATCAAGGGAAATCTTGAAGCTGTGAGTTAGTGAGAGAGCTGTGAGTTAGTGAGAGAGCTGGACGCTTTAACCTTCGAGTTGCCGAAGAAGATGGAGACAGGTGGAACGTAGGGTGTCGAGAACAAATTTCAAACTTAAATGCGACTGGTAACGAGATGGAGATGTCATATATTGGGCTCATATTAAAAAAAGGTACGAGATAAAAGAGTTCTCATGTTTTAGTTTCATATTGGGCTCATATTGAAGAGAGAAATTTAAGAGATAAAAGAGATGTTATGTATTGGGCTCATATTCTAA